TTAAAATAATTGTCGGACTTAAACCATTTTGTAGTGTGTAACGTCATTTGTTTATGTTAAGCTTCGAGCAGATATGGACGTTCGAGGAATGAGAAATTTGTAGGTTGAAAGCAATAAAATCGACCTTGCTAACCAGACGCTCCTTCGTAGCTAAACAGGTATAGCACTTGTAGGATACAGGTTCGATTCCTGTCAGAGGACGCATATTTCCATGAAATTTCTCAGCAAATGTTGTTAATACTGTTTATTATTAACAAAGATTTTACTTAAATATTTGTGTATATATATATATAATGTATAACAATAAAACATATTAAAATATTCATCGGACTTTTTTCATTTCGTATTATTTGAGAGCAGACATACTTTTTGCATATGTACCTACATTTACGATTCCAATATTCATAGCTGATGTAACGGTTTTCTATGTTTTTGGATCTCAAGGGACTCTTTTGTCTGCTTTTAAAATGAAACTACTTTCTGTGTGAAGAGCTTACTGAGTAAAACCAAATTCCGCGACTCAATCAATCAGCTTCCTTTCATCGCAACGTTTCGGTCGATATGTCTTTTTAGTTTTCCTCAGGTGTAAATTATCTGTTCGTCACTGAGTAGTATTTTTTTTTCTATTTTTGTTTTACCTCAGCTTCAGGAACAATTTTACAGTTAGCTACTGTCGTGCAAAGAAGGCTCGTACTAAAGTTGGTTAATTTCCAACCTGAAAATTTCTCGGGCAAGGATGCGGTAAAAAGAACCGGATTCAAGGAGAGAGAGAGAGAGAGAGAGAGAGAGAGAGAGATATGATGGCGACTGGATTTAAATGTTTGAATATTGTAGTTGACAGGAAAACAAGAAACCGGAGAAAAATGAGAGAGAAGAAATTATTAGCATAGAGTATACGGTTACAATAAGCATTTTCAACAATAAAATAATAAGACCTAACTGTCAATCTAGTACTGCGCTTAAATTCATAAAGTCGAGGTACTAAAAAGTACAGCTCTTCTAAATTGTTATCGTAATTTACCCACGCACGCATGGACTCCCAGATATTAATAGGACCAGGTACTGCCTTTTGGGGAGTGAAGTTTCCAGCAGACAGCTCTGACAGTCGGACCGAACATTCTTGCTGTATATGTTTGTATTACGGTTTCTGTTAATATATTTAACTCACTTCCTCTCTTTGTGTCTTTATTTCTGACCGTAACAAGGCCACTACAAGATGTAATTGGGAATTTATGTGATATATAACTGCCTCGTGCCCTTTTCGTATTGCCCTGTTCAAGCCACCATATCCCAGTCTGTTCGTATCTATCTATCTATCTATCTATCTATCTATCTATCTATCTATCTGTTATGCTAATTTACCCACGCAGGCGTGGATTCTGTCAGCTATAAATAGGAGCAGGTACTGCTTTTGGAGAGGTAAGTTTTCAGCAGTCATCTCTGACAGTCGGAGCGAACTTTCTTGCTGTAACACTCTCGTTTGCATATGTTTGCATTACTGTTTTCTGTTAATATATTTGTTTAACTCAATTTCTCTCCTGTGTCTTTAATTCTGGCCCTAACAAGGCCACAACATAAATATTTACTGAAAAGTCACAGGGAGAAAAACGTTATGGCGTGAGAAAGTGGCTGATGCCGAGATGTCAGGACAGGGTTGATAACATTGGAGATTCTTCTTTGGATTGTGTCTAGAATCTGTAGATACATAGCAGCAATATCAAAGCAGATGTGACAGCAATATTCGGTGAACGGAAGGACGGTGACGTATCAGCATTTTTGCAAACATGGGAAACCAAACTAATTATGAATGATGCTTGGAATTAGCACACGAAATAATACTCTTATCATTTCGGTTCTTATATTTTCTCAGTTTCTTTAACACCTTGCATCCTAGTGAAAGGATATATATATATATATATATATATATATATATATATATATATATATATTAAGTTGTTGTAAGAGATTTTTGGTGCAAAGATTGCTGGATCTTTTTTCTGTAGTTTACTGGTGGGAAAAGCATTTTAGGCAGAATGTATTTTGTCATAAAATTCTCGGTATCAAAAGATAAATATAGAGTGTTAATAGAATTATTGTGGATAACATTATAACTTAACTGAGTGGTGTTGGTTTAGTCATGCCGACTTCGAAGTTTCGTGAACACATTGCAGTAATACTTTCAATGATCAGGGCTGTTGGCTTCTCTCAACATATATGTTGAGAGAATATATATATATATATATATATATATATATATATAAGTGTGTGTAAACAAAGTTTTAGTGAACAATGATCTCAAAATGCATGTTAATTATTTACAATTCAGATAGAACAAATAGAAGCCGTAAAGTGTTTCTTTTATGTGAAAAGGTGAAAGATCACGTCTCTTCTTTCATTTTATTGATAGACTTTTCCAAGTTACGAATAATTCTTCTTAGACAAGGAGAAAATGCCGTCAGAAATTATTCAATGTCCATTTTCAAAGAATTATAGTCGAAGCTTTCGACTTTCTTTAACCATTTTTATGATTTTTCTCTATGTATCCTGATGGTAACTTGTCCTTGACATCCTTTTATACGGCTCAGAGTCGTGAAATCCATACAGGTACCATATACGCCAGCTAGATGTTTTATATAAAACTTGACTGCGTGCAATCTGTGGACTTAACCTTCAAGACAGGACATCTAGAGTAGACTTATTTAACAGGTGTAATATTATAAGAATCAAGACTTTTCTCATACAGTCTCAGTTACTTTGGTCTAGTTATGTCTTGAGAATGTCTGATGACAGGATACCCAAGATCCTAATGTACAGCCAGTTAGATCAGGGCTACAGGAATGTAGGATGCCCAGGGTTAAGATACAAAGACAAGCAGAAGAACAACTTGTCAGCTGTCAATATACTTCATAACACCCTCGAGCGATCGACCTTGGAGCGAGTAGAATGGAGAGCAATGTGTTTTAGTGGACTAAGCAGTTTTCAATCCGCTTGTCTGAATCGTCTTCGAGAAGCGAGAGCAAGATCTAAAAGGCCAGCCAATCTTACAGTAATCTCATCCCACAATCTTTACACTTGATCCATATCCGACCTCTTTTGTAAATCACTAGCGGGTCTTAAGTAACACTTAAGATTATCGCACAAAATTTCATAACTGAATCCATTAAGTTTTCAGATCCTCATAAGTTAACGTCCATTATATATATATATATATATATATATATATATATATATGGAAAGAGAGAAAGTGAGAGAGATGAATATATAATAAAATATATTTTTAATGTATGATATATTTATGGATAGCGATAGAATGTATGTAAATTTAAAAGTCTGTTTCATCCTTCAGCGCAAACTTCAGGCCATTAAACATTGCGTTAAATTATGTAACAGACTGTCTCCGGTCGATTTTTACCTCTGCGTCCACACGCACATGCACACATATGCACACACACACACACACACATATATATATATATATATATATTAAATATAAGATTGCGTTCTAGCATGAAAAAGTCTGACCACGCTTGGTTTATTCATGAGTGTTCTTAAATATAAAATTTCTGAAAAAACAACCTTTTTTACTTTTTATAAATGCGAGTTTCAAAATAAAGAGCAACTTGTCAGCTGTCAATATACCACATAACACCCTTGAGTGCTTACCCTTGGAGCGGGTAGAATGGAGATCAACGCGCGTTAGTGGAGTCAGCAGTTTTCAATCTGCTTGTTTGAATCATCTACAAGAAGCGAGAGCAAGATCTAAAAGGTCAGCCAATCTAACAGTGATCACATCTCACAATCCTTACTCGTGATCCATATGCGGCCTCCTTTGTAGAGCACTAGTATGTCTTAAGTGCCACTTAAGATTATCGCACAAAATTTCATAACTGAATAAATTAAGCTATCAGATGTCGGAGACAGAGCAATAACCATTATTATGAGTGTTCACTTTCTTTATACTATATATATATATATATATATATATATATATATATATATATATATATATACGGAAGACATCTTTTTTAAGGTTTGAATAGAATGTATATGTTTTAATGTAGGGTTAATCTGGCAAAAAATTAAATTATTAATGGATTACATTAGGATAGAAAGATTGTGTTACACTAATCGCCTTATTGCTTTTCGTGGAAATTAGCATTTCTTTTACCTGGGCTTGAACCTCGACCTTTAGTGACATAAATTGTCAACTATATTAGTCACTGAACATAATCAATGTTTCCCTTGTGTATGCCTCCAGGTGTCTGTCTTCGGTGTGTATATTCAAAAGGAGTAGAGTTACTCATGTACGATTGGCTTTAGAAAGAAAGGCTGGAAATGCAAAGTAATTTCGTTCTATTTGGTTCTCTAAACTAACGAATCAGGACGGGAAAAACAGACCCAAATATACGTGGTCCATAAATTTAGGAAAAGGAATGACACTTGGCTAAAAGATCCGTATTTTTTACTTGAGCCAGTGGAAAATTGATCTAATACAATCTGCCTATCATGTAGGATTACTCTACTAAGCTACACGTTTTAAATATGAAAATGGCAGAGAAAGAATGGAGGAAGGAAAATGTTTGGAAAGAAAGAAAGGAAAGACGAAAAAAGAGTTTAAAGAAGATAAGAAATAAGACCATGAACCTAAAAATAAAAGAAAGAAAGAAAGAAAGATAGAAGATATGAAAAAGAAAAGATAATGAAAATAAAAAAAGAAAAACGAAATAAAAATAAGGGAAAGAAAGCAGAAACGAATGAAGAAAAAAATTAAACAAAATGTACAACGAGAAAGCAAAAAGATAAAAGAAAATGGTCCAAGAAAATGAAAGAAAACATAGATGAATAAAAGAACGTGAATAAAGATAAGGAATATCGGTAGAGAGTTTGGCATTCGCAACCGCAACATCTTGGAATGCTTCCAAAATGTGATTCTCAAATTTCGATTTTTCTTCAATTGCTACATTTCACGAAGGCACGCATTCATTTTCATTGTGATTCTGATGCTGTCTTTATCGATCGAGAACATTATCGTTCTTGGCCATTTTCTCCTTTCTACTCAGCATAACACTTCTTCTTCTTCTTCTTCTTCTTCTTCTTCTTCTTCTTCTTCTTCTTCTTCTCACTTATTATTATTATTATCATTATTATTATTATTATTATTCCCACCCAAGTGTTCATATGGCAGTCGTTAAGGCTCAACTCACGCTCTCTTTCTTAATATCTCATTCTCTTTCAATATACTCGGTGGCTTCAATATTGCTTGGATTATTTCATTCTTTCTTTGAGGAATCTCAACTCTGGGACACTTCACGGTTTCTATTTGCATATTCACTCCAACTGTCTTGGGATTGGATGAGAGAAAATCTCTTCAAATCTTCGGCACCATACTCAGTATCCTTCCAAACTGCATGCTGGGGATTGTCTCAAACTACATTCGAATTCCTAATTTATCCAAACCTTATTCTTACGTTTCTGGAACGATTTCAAGTACGAAAACCTTTACCTTCATGTTTCTCTCGTTTCTCAGCCCTTCATACACGATCCAAACATTTTACTATTTTTCAGCCCTTCTTATAAGGTCCAGATATTTTAATATTTCTCAGCCCCTCTTATAAGGTCCAGATATTTTAATATTTTTCCGCCCCTCTTATGCCCTTTCTCAGCCCTTCTTATAAGGTCCAGATATTTTAATATTTCCCTCAGCCCCTATAAGGTCCATATATTTTAATAAAGCCCTTCTTTTAAGGTCCATTTTTAATATTTCTCAACCCTTCTTATAAGATCCAGATATTATAATACTTCTCAGCCCCTCATATAAGATCCAGATATTTGAATATTTTTCAGCCCCTCTTATAAAGTCCAGATATTTTAATATTTCTCAGCACTTCTTATAAGGACCAGATATTTTAATATTTCTCAGCCCTTCTTATAAGCTCTAGATATTTTAATATTTTCCAGCCCTTCATATAAGATCATTATATTTTAATATTTCTCAGACCCTCTTATAAGGTCCAGATATTTTCATATTTTTCAGCCCCTGTTATAAGGTCCAGATATTTTAATATTTCTCAGCCCTTCTTATAAGGTCCAGATATTTTAATATTTTTCAGCCCCTCTTATAAGTTCCAGATATTTTAATATTTTTCAGCCCCTCTTGTAAATTCCAGATATTTTAATATTTTTCAGCCCCTCTTATAAGGTCCAGATATTTTAATATTTCTCAGCCCCTCTTATAAGATCCAGATATTTTAATATTTTTCAGCCCTTCTTATTAGGTCCATATATTTTAATATTTCTCAGCTCCTCTTACAAATTTTTTTCCACATATTTTAATATTCTCAATCCATATTACGAGGTCCAAATATGTTTGAAAAGTTTTCATTTTCTTTTCTTTTTTTTTTTCTTGTACCGCTGGTAGAACCATATTTACAATCGGTTACGATTTTCTTTCCTTGTTTATGACTATCAAATTCGATTTTCTCATTTGGATAGGGCGATAAGAGTTAATTTCTCAGTCAAAGGGAAGCTTATATTTTATCTTTAATTTTTATGTTTATTTTTTGAAGTTCTCTTTTTTTATCGATACCATTTGTTCAGTTGGTCGAAGTAAAGTAATTCACACAATGCCTGACTGCTTCTTCTCTCTTGTATATGATTTATAATTGTTTTCAATCAACCAGTTTCCGCTCGGGTCTTTACGCACATAAGCGAAATTGCCTTCATTTATTACTATAGGTTTTACATGCTATTCGATAATGGACGGTTTCTATTAAACATTTCGTAAACACCAAATGGTGTCAAATGAAGAAGCAGTTATGATTATGTTATATATTCTTAGCGTTTCCAGACTCCGAAATAACGTCACGTGGTATGTTTACTACGATTGACAATGCTACAATGATTGCAGAAATATATATTTTAATTTTAAAAGTGTACATAGATTTTAGGTCAGTTTTGCAGGAAGCCATAAAAAGAAATGAAGAAACATAGACGACAGTTATTTTAGAGGTCAAAGAAGCGCTAAAAAATACATAATTGATTTTCGGCTTTACATCAGTTTCGTTAAAGAAGGAAATCTCTACTGATGTAAGTCTTTTGGAAAATGAAGTGGGGTAAAGCGAAAATTCATTAACGGGGAATACTTGTGTTACATTTTTATATCATACATCACTTTGGCTTCGATGTCGACATTTTTATATTTTTTTCCCTTCATTTCCTTCTAATTTATGACCCCCTTTCCTCAGAATCAATACTAAATATTGTCATTAGTATTGCTGGAGACACGGTGAAGTAATCGATAACGGCTCGGATTTCGGAATCGGAGGTCGGTGTTCGAATTCTAGTCGCTAATCCATTCACTTACGTACTAATGCATCTTCTCTCCATATACACTATAGCTAAAAAGCAGGACAGACCAGGTTCTGTAGCCTTGAATGGTCACTGGTCTACTGGCAGAAAGAAATAGCAAGCTAGTGCAGAAAAAATCGGCCTGGAAACATACATGATCGCCTAAGCGTGTATGGCTGACTGAATATTTCTCTTTTTTTTTTCTCAGCTATTTTCTTCTTTTATTTCTTTTCGTCATTTCTTCTTTTTCTTCTTCTTTTCATTCTTCTTCTTCTTCTTATTATTATTATTATTATTATTATTATTTACTCTGATTTTCATTGTATCCACCTTCTGGGTCCCAACTAGAGACCTAAGGTCAAAAATCGCTTCATGCCATTTTCCACTGATCATTTTTGTAAAAGAAATTAAAAACTAGGATCACATAGATTTTACTTAGGTAAACCTCTTCGTAATCTGAGAGATATACATATGAGGAAAATTTTTGTATTTTTAAGACATGGGCTACCAGGAATCCCTTTAATGAGTCTGTCGAACTCTTTTGCATTCTGTGACACTATTTAGCGGTATCGTGAAAATTAAAAGCGAGAAATAATTAAGGCGAGAAGAAGCTATCACGAAAAGACTTACTGAGCGATGTTATTTTTTTTTTAACAAAGAAAAGTGGTAAAGATTTTATTTTCATTTCCGAAGAAAAGTATTTTTTTCGCAGAAGATAGGAAATTCGTAAGGTCTCGGATCTGTCGAATTAATTTATGCTACGAGGCGGCGAATAAAAGATAGCCATCTGCCCATAGCAATAATGAAAATTTCAAATTGGTCAAATGGCCTACGAAACAGATGCTGGAAGATAATTGTAATCAGGTCACGTACTGTCCGAGAAAAACATCAGCTGGGCCACCAAAGGAAAAGGAAAGAATAGACCATTAACTATCTTTCGGAGATATCATTTGGTTTTGGGAAAAAACACCTGTTTCATGTTCAGACTTAGCCATGATAAGAGTTTGTTGCCTGGACAGATTGTGGCGACGGAAGTACGTAGGCATTGAGGAGACAAAGAGATTCACTTGACCAACCCCGATGATTATTTGACGAAAATCTCGTTGACAAATTCCAGGTGACATTCGGTTAAGATAGAGATTAGGGACCACACTACGAGTTGTGGGAGATCTGGTGTCGGGGAAAGAAAGAAAAGAAAAAAATAGATATTTTTTTTCCTTTGAGCGATAATGGTAAACATATGTGAGAGAGAAGGGAGGCCTGTTGACGCCTCTAAGGGGATTGGTGCGAGATACCACTGTGAGAGGGAAGGGAGACCTGTTGACGCCTCTGAGGGGATTGGTGTGAGATACCACTGTGAGAGAGAAGGGAAACCTGTTGACGCCCTCTGAGGGGATTGGTGTGAGATACCAATATGAGAAAGGAAGAATTTGGAAGGACGATACCCTTAACAACCCCTGTGAAGCAAAAAAACAATGGGCTACCAAAAATGGAAAGTGATGAATTTTCCTGTCCGAAAACAATTATTGTGGATTTAGAATTATCGAGGAACCCCAAACCACGACAGCCCCATAGCCGGTTTTGGTCGGCGTCCATATAAGTAGAGTCGCAGCGAGTTGGCCATTAGTTGCAGTGGGAGAGAGAGACGCAGACGCAGAGAGAGTTGAGCTGTGAGCTCTGAGACCAGCCTCGCAGGAAGCTGACTGAAGATATCCACGCATCCCGACTTCGACTTCTACCCAAGAACAATTTATTTTTGAAGAACGACTTAGACTCACACCACCAAAACAAGTTTTGCGAATATCGCCTGAAGATACAAAAAAACAGTTATCGAAAAACAACTTAAGATATTAAGACTCGCCTAACAAACACAAAGTGTCACGAATCCATACAAGTGAGTTGGGAGAAAGATGCAGTCCTGTATTCAGCAACCAGATATAAAAATATTTGTTATTCTTTTTTTAACATATTTGAACTTTTGGAGTTGTTACTTTATTTTCTTTTACATATACTTGTGCGGTGTTACCTTTGCTCAGACTCGGCTTGCATTGCAGCCCGGCGACTGATTGATTTCGTTTACCTAAGATCAAATCACAACGTGGGTAGGTTAGACTAAAAATCAAAGCAGTTACTTCGGTAACCAGACGTTGGAGGCGAGCTGGGAACGACAAAGCTGATACCAAATCTAAACAGATTCCCATCCGAATCAGCCAAGGGTTAGAACGTCACATTTGGTGCCGCGACCAATACCAAGTCCTATTTGTCGTCTCAGGATAGCACGAGCGGGGAGGCTGGGGGTGACGTCACATTCAATCCGTGGGCTCCCACTACAACTGATATTATTGATGTCCTCATGTGTTCATTTCCATATAAATATCCTTGCATTTTGACAGTTTTTTGAAGATCTTCAAAGGTACATTAGAGTCTGTAGGGACTGACATGTCAATAAGAAAGTACATTCTAGTATCATGGTCTTTGATCACGATATCGGATTGAATAGCTTTGATTGTCCTGTCTGTGTCTATTGTAAAATCCCATACAATTATTACAGGTCCTATCTCTGTAACCGGGTCTGGGTGATGTTCATGCCAGTTTCTTGCAGTTTCCTTCCATTATTATTATTATTATTATTATTATTATTATTATTCCTTTAATTTCTGGTGTGTACACATTTCTTTCCGGGTCCCGCCAAGAGACCTAAGGTCAGAAATGGCATTATGACATTTTCCACTGACCAGGTAAAAAAAAAAAAAAAAGATTTTACATAGATAAAGCCCTCCGTAAGATATGGGCTGTACTCGTGAGAACATTTTTTTGTATTTCTTTAATTTTTCCAACCCTTCAATTAGTCTAAGGCTTTTCCAACCAATCAAAGGAATTGTTGATGTTCCCATGTGCCATATTTTTGCGATTTCGATTTCAAGGTCATTGTATTTTGCTAGCTTTTTGAAGATCTTTCAAAGATATATTGCAGCCTACAGAGACTGCCATATCAATAAGGAGGCAATTTTTTTTTTTGTTTGTTTGCGATCTCTAATAACGGTGTCTGGGCGATTAGCTTTGATTGCTTTATTATTATTATTAATAATAATTTTCCCAGACTGTCAAAAATGGCGGCAATTTTGAATCTCATAATTTTTCAACTCCTTATAATTCTTAAGGTGTTTTCCTGTGAGTTCGTAAATATAATTATTCAATTATTATTATTATTATTGTACTCTGCACACGGAGTCGGTTTTTTTCACTTCCCATGTTTTTGAACTTTTCATAACAGTTCGCCATTAACAAAAAATAATGTCACCTGGTGTGACGAGCGCAAAGAGAGATAACTTTCGTACAAGAAAATGGTAGAAATATTGCAGACCC